AGTTTTGTTTATTCTGAGTTCTGTTGCAGTCAGAGTTGCCACCTGTCCCTCTCTATATTTTTACAATAGGTATTGTTGAAAGACATGCAGAGATGTTCAGGCAGGCCTTTGTGAGATGATCTTTCTTCACTAACCACAGTGCCAAGGGTCACAGGGATGCCCTTACCCTCTGGCTCCCTGTTCTAGTTCTGACCCTTATGTGGTACTAGAATGAAGCTTTCAGCACCTGAGCTTATTAATCAATATGCAGAAAGTAAAGCATCCAATAATTGGGGGAAAACCTTGTAATGCAGGTTACTAAATAAACTTGGGTTTAGTGCATACACCTGGTGAGTAAGTAAACAGATGACTAAAATTTTAGAAAACAATTTTTTTTCCCCCTCTATGGTGAAGGCAGCACAATCCTGTACGTACATGGCTGTGTGAATGTGAAAAGTAATTGTTTTAGAGAATGAGCATTGAAATCATGTTGTCAGTCATTTGGAGGTATTTAGAAGGGGTTAATGCAGCTACAGGTCCTTTAAGGAAACGTATTAATTCTCTTAACTGGGGAACTGGAACCTTCTCAGCCAGGTGAACTGCAGGAATCTGCTCCAAATACACCCAGGCGATTAGAAGTAAGGAAGTGAGCAGGCAGGAATTTTGTGGTTGGAAAACCCCTGGACTCTGGTGAGCATGGCTGGTGGCTGTTTTCACAGCGGGGCTTCTGGGCTACCCAAGCACCAAGGTCTCTGCAGCTGCTGCCCACTGCTTCCCCAACACTGGGAATCTTTCTACAGCTCTTTTTGCATACGAACAAAGAGGCTGGTGAAGCTGAGTTGTATCCTGCTCTTGCCAGATACATCCTCTGATTTGCAGAAATTTCTTTGACTTAGTTTACAGTTAGAAAAACAGGTTCTTCTAATGTGATGAAAGTTTAGCATAAACAAACACCATTGCCATTCAGCGTTGTAGCAAACCAGTATAATGGCTCCATTTCCTGAGACAAGGTGCTTGAGCTACGCCTCCTAGGTAGGCTTTCAAGGTACGGTAAAAATACACTTTTACTCCTTAGGATTTCTGCAGAATTGAGGCAAATTTTCCTGATTTTTCTGATTTAGATCTGTAGACTCTATTTTTAGACATTCCAGACTGATAATTAAATGTGTAGTGAAATGAATTTGCTCTGTTTTGATAGATTATAAATTCTGTTAGCCAAATACGTTAGGTGCTACTTGGTATTAATATTAAACTTTGCTGTAAAATATCTAATCCCTATTGGTAGGCATGTAGAAAGAAAAGAAAAAAGAAAATTGTTTTTTTTTCTAAATATCTTTTCGTATAATCCTCATTTTAAATGATTTTATTAGAAAACAATGCTTTTCATACCTCGTCTCATAGAGCTGCTTTTTTAAAAGACAGCAATTTTGAATTCTTTAATTTGAACAGCAAGAGATCTAAACTTAATGTGCTTTTGAATATGATTTTATTATTTGGTAATATTTTTAGTAATGCAGAAACTGCTGGGTTTTGTCATTATGAACTGAAAGTATAAATGTGTTGCTAATCTGTCTCAAGTCTGTGGTCTTAATAAATACGCTTCATGCAACAGTGGAATAAAAAGAACAGTCCTTCCAAGGAATTAAAGGGAATTGTCCAAAGGTATGTAGTGTGAAAAATCTCGTTCAGTAGAGACAGAGGCTGATGCTTCAGCTGCGTCAGGGAGGTTTAGGTTGGGTCTCAGGAAGCCCTTCCTCACGGAGAGCTGCTCAGACATTGGGATGCCCTGCCCAGGGAAGTGGTGGAGTCACCGTCCCTGGAGGGGTTTAAGGAGGGGCTGGATGTGGCACTTAGTGCCGTGGTCTGGCCGTTGTGATGCTTTCGAGTCATAGACTGGGCTTGATGATCTCGGAGGTCTTTTCCAGCCTCAACAGTTCTGTGATTCTGTAATATGTTTGCTAAGTAGGTTTGGTAATTTAGGCTTCAAATTTTGATGCCCATAGTGGTCCATCAGTCAGCTTGTACAAATGGAGAACGCAGGATGTGTCACAATGCAAACCCACCACAGAGCTAAGAAGGAAGGAACATTGATCTCTTACATGAGCAAAGGAGTTGCTGCTCCCTCTCTCGGACACGGCAGCCTTGTACATTGCCATCCTTTCTTTCAAGGAGACAGTCTCCTGGAAATCCAGCGGTGTGTTATCCACCCTGGGAGGGCTCTCTTTAGGTAGTCCTCTTCCAGGCTTGTGAGAGCCCACTGGAAGTACAAACAAACATCATGTATTCTGAGAAAGAAATGGATACTTTTTTTTGCCAAATTTTGAAAGAAAAGCAGTAGTAGAAAGGAGCAGTATTACCAACTATTTAGTGACTGTATCTTATTTTCAATTTAGAACTGATTGAGTACAGAAAAATGCAATTCAGTGAAGTTTTTGAAACTGCAGGAAATTCACTGGAGAAATAACTAAAGCTTTTAAAGAAACCCTTAGTTTTAACAGCAAGCATAGTGTATTTTTCTTGATGGTTACATTTGCATTATTTTACACTGTAAAAGATCATCATAAGTACTACAAATAACCTATTAGAATTAGATATATTGTGTTCTAATATCTTTTTGTGCATTATAGTATTAATTTACTTAACAGAGCCCATTCTGAGTAGGTGGTAGGTTTCAGTGGTTTACTAGTATTGCATTAGAGTATGGTTTAGTCAGTTTACTACTACTATAAACCTTATTGAAAATTATCTAAATTAGTGACTACATTTTAACTTTATTGCAAGGTGTGAAGGTTATAGACTTACATATAAACATCTGCAGTTCAGATGAACGTTCTCAGGAGAGAAGGTTCATCACCAGGTGTGAACATGGAGGTAACAGTTCAGAGTACTCCTGGAAGAGCAGCACTGAGTTACTAGTACTGGAGGATTTTTCTTCTGGCGTTCTGCATTTGGATGACTGTATTAGAAAAATGCCATACATCTAGAAGAGTGTTAGTGTAAAGACATTTTTCCTTCTTCAGACAAAGGGAAAAATAAATCTATTGTGACCATCTCTCTTGTCTGTGATCAGAGGCAGGAGAGATTTCGCATAGTCCTGTAGGCTGGAAGTTCCTCTTGCCCTGCCAAGGTTTTTCTACAGAAAATGGAAAATTAGGTTGAATTACACTGGATTTCTGTAATCAGGACACTCCTTTTTTTTTTTTTTTTGGAGGAAGGGGAGGGAATTTTAAGGCTTCAAGAAGATGTGATTTTAGTAAAACCACTGGAATCTAATTTTTTAATACGTGTGCTTGTGCCACGGAGAGCAGAGCACCTTAGTCTTCCCTAAATCCATTTATATTTCTCCTAGTCTTTTCTGTATAACATTTACTAGAGCCAAGTCCTTGTTCTGGAAGCGCAGCTCTAATATATATTGTTATACGTATATGCATTACAAAAACGTGCCCATTCAATCCCATTTCTTTTTACCTGAGTTGGTTCACTTTTGATTATTGTATTTTACTAAGGCAGTGGATGAGAGCACAAAAGGTATAGATTAAAAAAAAAAATCCATTTTAAGTACTCACCCTTTCCCATTAATGTTATGAAACGCAGCAACAAAAGAGACTTCTTTCCCCAAAGCTGTTTGTTCTGGCACAGAACAGAATGCCAGGGGAAGGGTTTCCCTCTGAACAGGGAAGAGTTCCGAGGCATATCTGGCCTTTCTGCCTGTTCACTGTAAAACTGTTTAGCTGGCATAGGTGGGCAAGGTCCAGATATAGCAAGTAAATATAACGAGCATCTCTATTTTTCAGTAAAAATCAGGCATATAGATGTAGAAGTGCATGGAAGACTATCCTCAGTGTAAACATACTCAGTTTCTTAGTATTTTTACCAGACTCTGCTCATAACGTACATGAAGAGAGCTTTCTATTTTATTACGCTTATCCCATGCAGTATATTTGCAAATTGCATGTAATCATGAGAGACAAAAGAATCACTACAGTTCAAGAAAGAATAATAGCAGTAGTAAGAATCCGTGAAAGTTAGCTGAAAGAAACAAAAAAGAGAAGTAGAAACCAGAAGAGAGAAAAAATTGCTGTTCTTCAAGTAGGAAGTCTGTTCATTAAACCAAATTTAACCAGAACAGTGGAAACGTTGAAAATATGCTTTGGCATCACAGGGTGTAGTCCACTACAGCCAAACACTGTCAGTTCATTTTTAAAGGCAGATTGAAATGTGTAACAGACTGCTGTCAGCATGGTTTATGAGCCATTGCTTTCATTCTCAAGAATGTTTAGTTTAAAAACTTTCTTAATGGTGTTCTGATTCGTCAAGGGAATCTTGGATTCTACCTAATTGGAAGCATGTGATTAGTTCCATTAGGTGCAATGGGAATACTCATGTGCCTCGACTTAGACATGTGATTTAATTCCTTGCTGATTTGAGGCCAATGAATTTAGTGGACTGTTTTAAAAAACATTTTAATAGATTCGTATTATTAGCCACCTGGGGAGTGAAGGTAATAGAAACTATTCTCTTGTTAGCTTTAAAACAGGAACTGCCCTCTTTCAAAGCCATATCTTTTATAACATAACGTGAAACTCTTTGTGGTGGTATGAGAGATGATATGATCGAAGCTTTTGCTCATTCATTTTCTTTATTTTGCTCTAAGATTTTGCTCATTCAACAGAACTGAAAAGTGTAGTATCTGCAGATTCTTTCAGGGATAAATGTGTGCTTCAGACAGAATAGTTTGTAAGCAGAGCCTTAAATTTACCAAGGTGAGATATGCCAGCAAAACCAGTTTGCCTTTGTCATGTGGGACTCATACAGTAGAATCTATTTCAGAGAATTTAATTCTTTTATTAATGATAAGTTACATGATTCTATAAAGTAAATGGAGCTTGACAAATCTTCTGTGCATAATAGGACTGGAGAATTCTGGCTTTCTGCCATTTTTTCAATGATATGACTACTTTAACTATCCCTTATGGGCTTCTCCATGTTTTCACGATAGGTTGAACAGCAGTATGAGCATTCTTTTCATTCTTTTTCACTGCAGACAATAGAAGTTCTTGGTACTCAGTCACAGAGTTCACTGTAAATGTTGCCCAATACACCTTCTAGGAAAATAAGATTTTGGCATAATTGAAACATTTAGCAAAAAGTTCCATAGCACTTCAGTGGTTTGAGGGTATTGTTCTTGCTGAAAAATTGAGGCAAGTTGACATATAGTGTCATTGGTTATAGAAAACTCAAATCTCATGGTGATGGAAGAAATAATCTATGGATCAGCATTAGCTTATCTTTTCTAGACCTGAATATTTATTCAAGTGCAGAGTTGCAGATTTCAGTGCCTAACTTCAGCTATTAGAAGTTTAAGAGTTTTCACCAATGCTTTCAAACACTCACATGAGCCTATAGGGAATTAATTTCTCATAAGACTGTCTGAATGCAAAACGGAGTATTATGGCTCTCACAGGAGCACAGAAAAACATTATCCCCTATGGGTCTATCTCATTTTTAGAAAAAAGCTTCGTTTGTAAGAGACATGAACTGTTGACTGTGCATTTTTACTTAGTTCATATTCTTCGTCATTCCTGGTGGAACAGAAAATGCTTCTGAAATGTACTCTGCCCCACTTAGACTCAAAGGCAAAGTGGGTATGGAATGGAGGGTTCTGTTGTCTTATTAGAGAGGACAAAGAAATGGTCCGAACTAGGAGAGTCTAAAAGGAGAAGGAGAAAAAGTCCTTACAACTATATTATAAAAAGATACCAGAAAAACTTGAGAAGATAGAGAGAAGAGCTGCAAAAAATACTCCTATGTGGAGAACTCCAGCTGTATCTAGCTGATGGAAGAGAACATTATGGGGTGATATGGTCACATTGTAATCATCCTTTCAAGAAGAAATGAGCAGGTGTTGAAGAGCTCTTCCATTTGGTAGGGGAAAAAGAGGAAAAAAGATAACTAACGGCTGCAATTTAAATCTGATAAAAAGTGAGGTATTTAGTTTGAACAATGAGCGTTATAAACTTAGTAGCTCGAAAAGTTCTTGCACACTGAAATTTCTTTTTCTCTTTGATCTGCTAGATTCTGGAATAGCTAAACATGCAGACTAAACGTTTTCTGCACAAAGAAAAGACTGGAGTCAGTAACCAATTGATACTATAGAGATGGCTTATTTTATTGGCAGAGCGCACAAGTCTTTTTATGCTATTTATTTGGGTAATCTGTTCTTAGGTATATTCAAGTCATAGATGCTCGGAAATCAGTAAGTGATTTTCTGTCATAAAATTGTGTCATCCATGTTATTTCTCTGTTAAAACAAAACACAGATGCATACACTCTTTGACATTGTCAAGCAGCCGTCTCCAAAGTGGGGTGTGTGCACCCTATGGACTGTGCAAGACAGTCTGTTGGGGTGTAGGATGAAAATATTTTTTATAAATGAACACTTTTAAAAGGAATTTTTATTTGATCCATCATGCTTCTTTAATATCCATTTGTGTGTACGTTGCCTGATGTACATAATGTATTAGTAGAGTAGAACGTGTGTACAATCTATAAATAAATGATATATGTAAAAACAGTGGGAGTGCAGGGTTAGAAATGTTTTGAGGACAGGCTGCGCCATCGTTTGGAGACCACTGGCTTAGAGTAAAGCGAGACATCAGATCAATGTGGTAATTGCCAACCTTCAGAGCTGTTGCGGTGCCCGTTTTGTGATGACATCTTTTCAAAGATTGCTCTCCCTCTTTTCACACTAGACTCAGAGTTGCTCCCGGGTTGACTCTTCGATGCTGATGAAAGCGAACCTCTCTCATTTTCTGTTTCCTGTTAGAAGATGTCAAGAAGATGCCTGTTAAAAGCTATTGCTAGCAAACGGGTGTGGGGTTTGGAGGGAGGAGAGGACATGAAGAGGCAGCAGATTGGGACGGGGTTCTATTTTGGGGCAGATGTTCTCCAGAATGCCATAGGGTAAATTTCTGGGGCACTATGGGTTGCAGATTCAACTACCAACTGCATTTGTTTATCACAAGAGTGAGTCAATGTTCCATACAGAGCGTTTACACAATATCATTGGTATCTCATTGTCACACTACAGCCTCAGCACTTGGAGGCAAAATGCATAAATTATTGCCAAGGAAGACTTCAGGTTATCAAAGCTGATGTTTTGGGGTGCTTCTCCTTCCTTCCATGCAATACACTATGCAGTATGGAGTTGGATACAACAGCTGTTATATTAAGGAAATATTTGAAATTGCTGAGTAGCAAAAATATGTTTAGGGTTTTTTTTGGAAGAGAATAACATGAAAGGTCATCTGCACATCCGCTTCCACTGCCCTTCTAAAAGAGGTGGCAGTATCCAAAACCAGAGTGTGAAGGTGGTTGGTCTGGTGACTTTGTAAATCTCTCCAGCAAGATTTTGCAGAACTTATTTGCCAGAGCTCTAAATTGCTTAAATGGCAGACATTTTCAAAATGTACTGTCTGCATTAGGCTACTTCCTTCTGATGTCTGCAGACAGCTTTATTATTGTGTACCATTTTAATGCTACCCTTGTATATTATCTCACTGAAGTAACTCTGAAGTAATTTTTGATTCAGATATTATTCACGTTTCTTAGCAGCCGAATTTGACCCTGAATTGATTATCCTAGACTGGAGAGTATTTTCCAGTAACTATTTAAAAAAAAAAAAAGAAAAAGAAGGAAAAATTTTTTTTCAATGCAATGCAACTTAATGAATCCTCAAATGAAACTCTTAGAAAGAAAATAATATAAATTGTCAGAGCCATTTTCACATAGAATCAATTAATACATTCACCTTGAATTTTATGAAACTAAGAGTGAAAAAGCATTGGAAATATACTTAGGAATCAAGGACAATCATGCTTCACCCTTCTTTAATAAATTTATGCTTTTCTCCATAGCTGCTGATAGCTTTCATCTTTAACATCTGTTGTACTTCATTTCTTGACTATAGTCATTCTTTGCAAGAGTATTCCTTCCAGCACACGTACAATGGGTTATATCTTGTGGAAACTCATCATTTTATAAGAATCTATCTACTTCTATGAATTATGGTAGCTTTTGCTTGAAATTAGCGGGAAGACTTTTGCGTGATGTGTCAGCTTTGAAACAAATGACTGATTAAACCATAGAGGCTGAAAATGCTTTATTACCATGAGTATTGTAACCCCTTTTTTTTCAGAAACACAGGCCTATGGCATTGCTGATCATCAGTTACCTTGTCACATCAGCCTCCTCCCCTGTTCCTCTGTTCCTCCCAAAGAGGACTGTGGCTATTGCTTATACGAAATTGAGTTTGAAAGGTGGATAATTCTGGCAGATAGGCCAGGAGATGTAACCCACACACTGGACAATCTAAACATGGCTAGATTTAAAGGGGATCTTTACTAATAATGTGGGGCTTGTTGCCTTTTATTTATCAGGTTTACAGGAGACAACTGGTTTAAAACCGATGTGAATTAATCTTTAATAGCTTTTACCGTTAGCAGCATATTCTGGCTGTACCTCCGGCTCAGCAGTGCCGAGGTAAGATGAGCTCTGTGCCCAGGCTGGGTTACAGCCCAGGCGTGGCCGCATGGGTGGGCACTGGCAGCGCGGGTAGGACAGAGAGCTTGGCCAGAACGTAGGTGTGCCGAGAGGAGTGAGATACCTGTGTGCCGAGGGTATCAGGAGACAGCGGGTGGCTGAAATAAACAGGGTCTTCGATGTGGAAAGGGCTACAGCTTCAAACTGCTCTTCATTCTGCACCCTTTCTCAGAGTTGGTTATCAGTTACAATTGCAACCCTCCGTTAATTATGATATTTTGGTTTAAAAAAGCTCAAGAGCTGGCCGTCGTGTCTGAAATCAGGTACAACAAGCTGTGATGCAGAAATGTCTGTACAGAGGAAAAATGAAGGTTGAGGGAGGGAGAGGAGAAAAAAAAAAAAGCGGCTGTGCGTGATTTTAGATCAGCCTGAGCGTGTCTATCCCCTACTTGTCCAGTTCTACAACCTGCCAGTACCTGGCATAAATGAGAACAGCCTCAGGATCGTATTGCCGCAGCATTATGTGTGTCAACACCAGAGAACCACTTTAATGATGCTCAAGCTTCTGCAGTATTGGAACAAAATAGAAAACTTGAAATATACTGTATTTTCAGCTACCATTGGCATCTTTGAGAACAAACTAATGTGTTTTTTTTTTTAAATCTTGCTGTATTTTTTTGTAGTTAACAGTAACAGACAAAAAAACCTTCAGAATTTACTGTTTTCTATTCTTATTCTTGCAAGCTAGGGAAAAATATAAATTTATTTGCATTTTTCTTAACTCTGTTAGTTTTATTAACTTGAAGCATACTTTTATGATATGATTTCAAATTTTCATCTCTGCAGTAGCAATTCCCTTACCTACAAAATTTATCATGGAACAGTTCTGGTTGGATCGAGTCCAGCCTGTGTCCTAGCTCTGTCAACACCACTAAACCATGTCCCTCAGCACAACAGCTACCCGACTCTCAAACAGCTCCAGGGATGGCAACGCAACCGCTCCCCTGGGCAGTATGTTTTAAAAAATAATACATATTTTTTTACCTTTTAAAATATCAATTTCAGGAATATTGGCCCTACTTAAGAGAACTCCATGTAAATTCTTTTATGGACAGATTTTTGAGATGTTGGCCGCTATGGCAGAAAGTCTTTTCACGCTTTTCCTGTGTTCAGAAAAGCACGTGTCAAATAAAACTGGAAATCTGGGATAATGCTTACAAATTGCTTAGGCATAAGATATTACCACTTGTCTTTGGTGTTTGATTATTCCATCTGTAAACTTGTCTTTGTTTTGTAGTAAGCATTATTCACCATTTTCAAAACTGCAGTGATATTAATTTTTCATCCCAGTCTTACAAAGCTTTTTCGTTTAGGTAACTGAATGCATTTGCTGTAGCTTCATCTGGAGTAGTTTGAGACTGGTGTTTTTTGTCCTGAATCTCTTTGTTAACTTATCTTTTGATTTCTATGTACTCTTCCTGTAATAATGTACCCAAACCCCCAATATTTTCCTCTATAATCACACAGGCGTTTTGTGGGACCGCTAATACATTTGTCCACAAAATATACTCACGCTGTAGTGGATGTATAATTTTAAATACATTAATTCTCTTTTAGCTGTTTCTAAATAAGCTCGCCTTATTTTCATAGCTAGCGTTAGCTTTCACCCGTGTTCCACAGTGATCTGCATCATTGAGATCCCTGATGTGGCGAATCCCCGGCTGGGTGAACAGTCCATTTAGCTCTCTCTGGGAGGATGTTGCTGCTCTGATGCACAGCGATGATGGTTCTGGGGCCGTGCAGGACTTTTTGCTCTAAACAAACCAATGCTATGCCCAGCGCGTCCGCTCCCTCTCCTCCCTCTCAGTGTCCCGGTGTCCCCCAGTCCCTGTGACATCTCCAGCTGCCCAAGCTCCATTTTGCAAACAGCATCCCTGTCTTTGTGGGCTTCCGAAGGATGATTTTCTGGCATTATTTCTCCAGCTGATGTGCTAGAGCTCAGATTTATTCTCAGAAATTCTGTTTCCTACTGTGAAAAAGTTATTGCAAGGCGTTACAATTACCATGAACTCCTTTTAATCGGGATAAATTTAATTTGCCTTCTGTTTTATTGGGGTATCTACCCAGATAATCTAATGACAGTGAATTGCAGAGTCATCTGCTTAATAAGGATAGAATTAACATAAATGTCACTTATCGAGAAAGCACCAAGGTAGTGGCAAGAGGTGCTTAATTAGAGGTTAATATATGCAACTCTTGCAAAAGTTGTCAAATGAAACTATAAGTAGATAATTTTTCCCCCCTTTCTGATTAGTGCAGGGCTCAATTCATGTCAGGCTTTTGTAACTATATGTGTGTTCTTGGTGGAAGCAGGTATTCAGTTGGGACACAGTCTGCTGTGTGTAGCATCCTGTTTAACAGCATTTATTCCGTATTTGTTGGACATAATTTGTTGAGAGCTGTCTATATTTAACTTTCATGTTATTACTTCAGTTTTATGTACTGGCTCTGATACTATATTCTATTTTTGAATGTGCTTCTCAGAAAAAGGTGACACAAGAAGCTATTTTTATGTTCTGATCTCATACTGTAGACATGATGAAAAGAATAACGCACCGGAGAGCCAAATTCCACGAAATATGCAGCCATTACATTTAGAAATGCCAATGATAAAGATTCCAATTTCAGTGGCCTACTGAGTGACTATGCTTCATTTAGATAGTGGATTTTCCACTTGCTATCCAGTTCTGCACTAATCTAAAAGTCAGTAAGCCAGAACACATAAAGTTTTAAATAGAGGGAAACTATTTACCAAATTACTACTACCTTTTCTGCATACATCGAACTACCTTGGACTGAAAATGGAGTTTGCAGTCGGTATATTAAATAGATTGCCAAAAGCTACTATTAATGTTCAAAGCATTTAATCTATTTTTAAAGGACATCTTTAAGTGTATTCAAAAAATTCACTTATCCCTAGCCTGTCATGTCTTAACTACTTTTGTTACACATGCTACCTACAGGAGAAGTAGCTGCCACCTAACTTTCATTTTATTTATGGTCTTCACTGAAAGAATGCATGTGTAAGAAATAACAAAAAGACAGGTAGAAGGAATAGGGTCAGAGAGAAAGGGTAAAACCATAAGTTTGAAATTAAAATAACAAATCCATAAACAGGTGATGAGATAGGGGAGGAGTGGAGCAGTAGGGCAGGTGTTTAGAAATCAAATCTGTTGCTTTAAAAATGGTTACATAGAATCTTGATCCATCAATGCATTTTATTGTGATTGTAACTTTAAATACCTGAGGGATGCTGTCTGAATAATTGTTCTCAAAAGCAATTCAAGTTATACTTGATGTCTACATGCTTTGCCGAACTGGCCCCTAACATTTACTATTGCCTACAAAAAGAGAGCATCTCAAATTCCAATTCAAAGCAAGACTGGAAAGTACACAGAATGATTTGAGATTAATTCTACTGCTGAACGAGCTGATAATAGCTCCTATGAATCACTCAATCTCAGTGAAATATAAAAAAAAAAAAAAAGACAAAGCAATGCAGTCCTGGCCTGCCTGAAAAAGCCTTTGGAAATGCCAGGATAAGACAAGTCTGTTTCTGATGTATTTCTCATTTGTAATTAAAAATATGATGGAAAACCATTCTGGTGCAATTTAGAAGCAAGGGAGTACATGGAGTCATGTCAACCATCTGCTGGAACGCTGATGGCATTATTAAGATTGATGACAAACCCCCCAAAGTCTGACTGTTTCAGAGGAGTGCTAACAACACCTGCTGCATAAACCCTATGAAGCCAGTAAGTAAACTGTTGAGACAAAGCCACCATCCTCGGTTGATTCTCTGCAATGCACCACTTCACTAAGACAGAATTTCTCAAGAGGCTTTAAAAAACCCCTGTGTCTGGAACTTGCTCATTCATTTCATCCCCAGACCAGCTCCAAAGATGCTTATCCTTTTCAATTGTTACTGACAGTTTTAGAATAAGACAGTATTTTCATCTGGAGGAAGGGTATAAAATAACTGCTGTATACAAGGAACAGGGGCCCTGAAAAGACCTGAGGAAAAAGACCTATTTGCAGAATTGCCATCTGTGCTGGTTTTGGCTGGGGTAGAGTTAATTTTCTTCACAGTAGCTGGTATGGGGCTGTGTTTTGGTATTGTACTGAGAGGAGTGCTGATAACACAGGGTTGTTTTAGCTATTGCTGAACAGTGCTCACACAGAGCCAAGGCCTCTTCTGCTCCTCATCCATCTCGCCAGTGGGTGGGCTGGGGGCACACAAGAGGTTGGGAAGGAACACAGCTGGGACAGCTGACCCCGACTGACCAAAGAGATATCCCAGAGCAGAGGGATATCCCAGACCATATGACATCACGCTCAGCAATAAAAAGCTGAGGGAAGAAGAAAGAGGCAAGGATGTTCGAAGTGATGGCGTTTGTCTTCCCAAGGAACCACTCTGTGCGATGGAGCCCAGCTCTCCTGGCGATGGCTGAACCCCCCCCTGCCGATGGGAAGCAGTGAGGGAATTCCCTGGTTTGCTTTGCTTGCGCACAGCTTTTGCTTTACTGTTAAACTGTCTTCATCTCAGCCCACGAGTCTTCTCGTTTTTACTCTTCTGATTATTTTCCCCATCCCACCAGTGGGGAGTGAGCTAGTGGCTGTGTGGGGCTTAGCTGCTGTCTGGGATTAAACCGTGATACCGTCTTGGAATGGGGCTGTACACTG